CAAATCACCTTCAATTAGGAGGATCTACTTGAAACACAACATATCCAGTTCGGATCTTCTGTGCTATGTCCCAATTGTTGCATGTGATGCCAATTTCTTCACCAATTCACTCTCCATCTTCTGATGATTGTGTGAAGTGACATTTAGTTGTGAGGTCAAGTGAAGGTGACCTCAGAGCACAATGGAAACCGCGTCTTCCAGTCGCTATTCTTCAAGAACTCCATTGTCTTTCAAGTGGTACACACATGTGGGATCTATTTCGACTGTGTTGAAAACATGCCTAACTAGAACCTGGTAACTGGCTGCCCATCCTTAGATATTTGTGAATCTCTTACGCCACATTCTTCATCGCCAATGTGCATTATGTTACATATTCACGGGGTTTCACATCAAGTCACAAATCAATTTTCCTACCAAAATGCATTATTTCGATTTCAAATCGAATGCCAATGACTACCTACTGGTGTTATCACATTTTCATTATTGTCAATTGCCTGACTGGCATTGGAGTTTGCAGTAAGTGCATCTTGTTCCAATGTGTTCTCTTCAGCTCACGCTTATCTTCGCCATAATTCAACAAAGTGTACCACTGACAAATCGTTGCATAAACTGACTAATGGGTGAACCTTATGACATCTGTTTACGACGTCCCACAAAATATTGAAACAGTCATACTGGTTATCAATCAATACATTATCTTCACATATACACCCCCACACAAAAACAATAGGAGCATCGCGTTGGTATAAAATGGACTGATAGTCGTTCGTGCAATTCATTCAACTTCTTTCAGATGATGACAGGTAGAGTCGGCTGGACCTTCCTCCTTTTACTCCTTGCTCACATGAGTAATTCACCACCTCAATGAACACCTCACAACATAAACCATCCCTCCCCCACCCTCACCTTCACCCCTCCCCACCCCACACATCATTTGTTTTGCACAATCTACACTTCCTTCAAGCCTAACCTGATTCAATGTTTCATAACCGAACATATTGTTGGCTTTCATAAATGAAGTTTGATAATTTTGTAGCTGAATTTGTCATAGAAGACGGAGCATTTGAAACACCTAGGAAAGATGTAAACGATTGTGAAACATCAACTTTGGTGCCACATTTACGGTCTTGTATTTTCCTTGTTCAGACAAGAAAAATGTAAGTTCTCACTGCAGAGAAGAGACGTGAAAAAACGCTTTCTTTCATTTCGCCAAATATATTCACTCTTAAATAAATAACTCCAACTCCACATTTACCCAATCCCCAACCTGCCTTTTCCTAATTGGTGGGTTCTATCTTTGCTGCTCCCACAGATATTACAACACGCATTTGTGCATGCGAGTTAAGATTGAGTGTTGAGGTTCTCAAACTCGCACACTTGTGATGAAATCGATGAGAGGGAAGAGAAACATGGAGTGGAGTTTCGCATCATGTCGCGAATCAATTCTCTTATCAATTGCCTTGACTAAATATCCCTTCAAATGCTAATGGCTGAGTACACTGAGTTCTTAAAAGCCCACTGATTTCCTCTCAATGTCTTACTAATCTACCCCACTTACAAACCACTCGCAACCTCTCTAATGGGTGCACAATATTATATCTTTGAGCGACTCCAATGCACACTATCCCAACTTTTTTATTCTGAATTGAAAAGTTTTAACCAATACCAAAATGTAAACAGGCTTCCAGTCAAAACTTACCTCAAAGCTAGCGTTTAATTTGAGGATTATTGGCATTGTTATAGAGGTCTTCCAATCGGAAATGCTAGTTCGTGTAATTTGTGGCAAATAATTGAGTGAAGAATGTCACAACGAGCAGCTTAGGAATTGTTGGCGAAAAGAAGATAGAGGGAGAGAGACAGAATATATGCCCAACTTGATTGGCTGGTCATCATCCACACTGTTTATATTAGGACCGTGGAGGTGCCTCTTAGTACCTTTCATACCCACTTCATGTCAAAGTTAGTTAATGTCTGTGGATCGCATTTTAGAGCTGTGCAAATTGCCTGCGCAATGACACCCACTTTCATGGTCACAACTTCCATATTTACATTTCATGTGCGGAAACGATTTGTTACCTTTGTTGCACACGAAACTGTTTGATAAATGAAGTCTACTCTTGAATTCGAGATACTGACTATATGTCTCATATTACACTGACTAACTGTTCCGATTGATTGGCCTCTATACCAATGCCACTTATTCCCAAATTGATCGCTCACGTTGAAGTTGTGTTGAATTAGAAGCATGTTTTCATATTTGTATTTGTCATAGTCCAACCTTTCGCTGGCCATATATTCCTTCATCTTGCAAGCTACTTCATCATCATGTTCTTCAATCCATTGGAACCTTCTCGAATCACCGCATATTTCCTCCTCTTTTTCAGACCCCAAATTGTTCATTTGGCGTTTTTTGCAAACGCGACATTAGTAGGACACTGATTAAGCAGAGTAACCTTGTTCAACGACCACACAGCACACTAATTGCGGATAAGAGGCTTTTTGCCTAATAGAAGTTGCAACGACGACCATGGGGATTTCTCTTCCCTCTCGCCTATTTCATCACCAGTCTGTGAGTTTGAGCATCTCAACCCCCAATCTTACTACACTTGTACAATTCGTGTCGTAATATCTGTGCAAACAGCAATGCTAGAGTTCAGGCAAGAGATCGAAACAACACTAAATTAACAAAACCGCCAATTTGGAAAATTGATTATGGCAATCATGCTGTTTTAAAGTGAATACGTTTGACCAAACTAAAGAAGGCGTCCATTTACGTGTCTTCAATGCAACGAGAACTTGTGTTCACAACTGAATATAAAACATATCAGACCCCATATGTGAAATCCAAGTTGATGTATTACAATTAATTACACCCTTCTTGGACGTTTAAAACATACCATCTGCAAGAAAAATTGAAAAAAAACTCTTTTTGATGAAGGCAAATTCAACAACAAATTATCAAATTTATCAATTGAAGCTCACACTATGCAGGGTTTGGGGAATATAGAATCAGATAACGCTTGAAAGGCGTGTATATAATGAATTTTATATGATGTGAATCGACGAGGGGGGTGGGGGGGATGGGGGTTCAGTAGCGTAGTCAGTTGGGTACTTGCACCCAGAGAAGAATTATGTTACTACTACGCTTTTCCTGGACTGTGTTCATTTTCGCTATCAAATCAGCGTCCTTAGAGGAGGATTAGGCTTCGTGAACTTCAACCGCTCGCTCTACTTGTGGTTGAGTCTCTGCAGGTGGAGCTTTTTCATGAGTGTAAGATATGAGATTGGCTCTACCGGTATCCATCTGAAAGAATGTGTTTGCGCAAACGTTTATCAGTCCCTTTTATACCAACACGATATTCTGATTGTTTTGTGTCTGCGTGCGCGTGTGATGGTAGCAATTTATTGACTGATAAACAGGAAGTCCAGTTTGACACTTTTAGAGGCGATCGCCCACAGATATCATATTGTACACTCATTAGACAGGTTGCAAACGGTTTGTAAGTGGGGTGGATTATTAAGACATTGAGAGGAAATCAGTGGGCTTTTAAGAACTCAGTGAACTCAGCCATTCGCATTTGAAGTGACATTGAGTCAAGGCAATTGATAAGAAAATTGATTTGCGACATGATGCGAAACTCCACTCCATGTTTCTCTTCCCTCTCATCGATTTCATCACAAGTCTGCGAGATTGAGAATCTCAACACTCAATCTTAACTCGCATGCACAAATGCGTGTTGTAATACCCGTGGGAGCAGCAAAGATAGAACCCATAATTAGGAAAAGGCAAGTTGCTGATTGGGTAAATGTGGAGTTGAAGTTATTTATTTAAGAGTGAATATGTCTAGCGAAATGAAAGAAAGCGTGTTTTCACGTCTCTTATCTGCAGCGAGAACTTACATTTTTCTTGTCTGAACAAGTAAAATACAAGACAGTAAATGTGGCACCGAAGTTGTTGCTTCACATTTGACTGCATCTTTCCTAGGTGTTTCAAATGCTCTGTCTTCTATAACAAATCAGGCTACAAAATTATCAAACTTTATTAATGAAAGCCAACAATATGTTCGGTTTCGAAACATTGAATCAGGTTAGGCTTGAAGGAAGTGTAGATTGTACACAGCAAATGATGTGTGGGGTGGTGGAGGGAGTGGGAGTGAGGGTGGAGGAGGGATGGTTTATGGGGTGGGGGTGTTCAGTGAGGTGGTGAATTACTCATTTGCACTTAGAGAAAAATTATTTTATTAGGGCACCTTCCTCTCCTCTTGTAAACGACAAACCTTGCTGGACTGAGTTCATCATGGAGCATACTGTCATCCACAGGTGGTATATCAGCTATTGGCTCAACACCTTTGGAGGAGGAGGAGGAGGGGAAGTCTGCATCTTCCTCTACGGCTCCTAATTGTGGATCGATGTCTTCAATCGGAGTAGCTTGCAAAGGATTTGCAGAAAAGCAAATGTGAGCAACGAGTAGAAGGAGAAAGGTCCAGCTGACTATACCTGTCATCATCTGAAAGAAGGTGAATGAATTGCACGAACGACTATCAGTCCTTTTATACCATCGCGATGCTCCGATCGTCCGTGTGTGGGTGTGTATGCGTGAAAGCAATACATTAATTGATAACCAGTATGACTTGTTTCAATATTTTGTGGGCCGTCGTAAACAGATGTCATAAGGTACATCCATTAGACAGTTTATGCAACGATTTTTCAGTGGTACATATTGTTGAATTATGGAGAAGATGAGTGTGGGCTGTAAAGAACTCATTGGATCAAGATGCATCTACTGCAAACTCCAATGCCAATTAGGCAATTGACAATAATGAAAATGCGATAACAACAGTAGGTGGTCATTGGCATTCGAATTGAAATCGAAACAATGCATTTGGTAAGAAAATTGATTTGTGACGTGATGTGAAACCACATGTTTATGAAACTTTACGTATATGGGAAATGCAGAGTGTGGTGTAAGAGATTCACAAATATCTAAGGATGGGTAGCCAGTTACCAGGTTCTAGTTAGGCTTGTTTTCAACACAGTTAAAATAGAGTGAACCACTTGAAAGACAATGGATATCCCAGACCAGATATCCCCCCCCCCTCCATCCCCAGATCTCAGACTCCACGTGAAAGTACGATGAACCCTCACTATTGCTATCTCCTCAAAAAAAGCAAGTTATGTCTGAGACTTCTCCTGTCATTCGGACCTTCATTCCAGGTGTGCCCAATATCACTGTCTCAATTACCTCAGCATGATCTGAGTTTAACTTCCCAGTTAATCTTTACAAGATAGTTTCCAAGAATTCCATAAAGAAATTGGCACTGTTTGTAGACACAAACTTCTGATTCCCCATTTCTTCGCACACTAATCATATTCATGAACACCTTGTCAAAGATCGGGTCCGTCGTTTTACTTCAGACCGATGTCAGATCACCAAGGAGAAATTTGAACAAATGTCTGAATTTTTTCTCCATCACTATCAAGACTGATTGAAGTAATCTCTAGCAACCGATCAGCACTCATTTAAAGTAATGTAACATTCATTTTATCATTGGTCATTTTATTAAGTTAGAAAAATATAGCATTCTCGGAGTTAGTGGGGGAAACATTGAGACACTCTATGTCATTTGGCTCCACTCATCACTGGTATTTCGTCTGCTTAATGTTGGCAACAGAGAACAATAAGAAGCTTAAAAGGCCAACAAGAAGATAATGGTAGAGGATAACTCCGCTAGCGCCTGCCCCCACCAGCCCCCCCCCCTCCCAACCACCACAACCCCCTCCCCACACCACAATAATATCAATAAAAACAATCAAATAATGGACTGGTGACTTCAAGCTAATTGTTTGAATTCGCTGAAGCTTCACCAGAGACGTACATACACGTAGGCATCTAGGAGAATGCACAAATTTGANGTGGGGGGGCGGGGAGGGAGGAAGATGCTCCATAATAATCGATTTCGGGTAGTAAAACAAACGCGCTTACACTTATTGACACACAAAAATACGGGCGCTGCCACTTTACTCCACGTTCTTATCCACTTCATTTTTCTCTTGTTGGCGCTGCTGCTGTTGCTGCCACCGCCGTTGCTGCGAGTTTTCTTGAGCACTTTGAGTGGTGGCTGTGGATGACTCGTCACTATCGTCCTTTTTGACATCACCGCTACCAGAAACGGAGGCTGGAGGAGATGATCTCGAGTCAACCCCATGGACAGAGGGGGGTGTGTTGGAAGTCTTTCGGTCAAAGTTGATGGTTGGCGCGTCAGTGGTAGAGAAACGACCAGCCATCCTTTCGCCTTCGTAGGCTACAGAATAAGATTGAATAAGGTTACGTTTTATGGGAAAACGTAATTTTAATGGAAATTTGGTAGTAATGTAATAATTAATAACGACTAATTTGAAATACTTAGACTGAGCATATACAGTTCACTAATCCTTATTTTTGTGAGGAAAAATTCAAATAAATGGAAATAAGAAAGACGGTTTGCGATTTTGTAGATAAGTGGAACAGAATCTGAGGGCACCAAAGAGAAATCAATTGTAATATATATATATATATATATATATATATATAGACTAATTTAGGTATTTACTGTGTTAATTAACACATAAACTTTGACTTCAGCTTCCCCCAAGTGTGGAGGGTACATTTATAGCAGTTCATTAATAGCAGTTCATTAGCAGCCTTCTTGCTTCCCAGTATCTCTGGCTTTCCGTCGTTGCCCTCAGGGCATGTGGATTGAGTGTATACTCCCAATCTGTGAAGGTGTTTTGCCAAGCAATCGCGTCCGGTACGTAGTCTAAACTCAGCAATGGCTTCGGCTATGTCCGAGAGTACCACTGCCCACTGTTTCTCCTTTGTTCGAGCTTTAAGTTAGTTGCACCCTGAGGTCTGGAATTTTCTTCTGATTAAGGCCTTCATTGTGTGGAAAGACATCGGCCGGTCCATGCATTGCAAAATCGTTGTCCTCTTCTTAGCAAGTGTGTCAGCAAGCTCATTGCCTTTAATGCCACAGTGACCAGGAATCCATTGTAGGACCACAGTTTTGTTTTTCTCTCTCAGCAGCTGATAGAGTTTTCCACATTCGTTTATCTCAGCTGTTTTGGGTGTCTCTCTGTTTCCAATTGAGTTTATTGCTGACTGTGAGTCCGAAAGTATCACTACTTTGGTGAATTTCGTATCCAGGCAACATAATTGGCATAATGCTGTCCTAATGCCCTCTATTTCTCCTTCAAAAGCGGATCTATTGTGTCCCGCTGCTGCGTAGAAAGAGAAGAGTTCAGAATAGACACCTGCACCAATGTTTGCTTGGTTTTCTATATATGACCCATCAGTGAAGACTTGGAGCCATTGATCTGCAGGATAGTTGACATTGATTGTTTCAAGTGCCAGTGATTGCATTTGTTCTGGAGGGGTGTTTGATTTCCTGAAGAAGTCAAGCAGTTGGGTGCAACACACTACATCAGTGTCTGCTAATGGGTTCATGGGTAGAGGGAGGCTAAACTCAGATATTAATAAGCCTGAAGGACACGGATCTGAATTTGAACCAATATGGGCGACAAAAAATGTGGTTGAAATGAAACGATCAGGCATCATTTGCCTTGTACAAAAATTTGGCCAAACGATTTTTTCTGTCTGGGATAGTTTGGCGACATATTTACCAAAAACCTAACCATTAAATTAAGATATCGAGGAAGTCGAACGCTTAGAGCGTTTGGTGAATATTGCAAATTATGCTCAGGTAAAAATGATCAATAATTGAATGCATTTAGCATAACTTGAAAAGAATCTTATTGGCTGATTAGTTGAGAATGCCTCTGAATACACGATCGCACAATCCAGACTATTCGTGAGTAATATTGGAAGATTGAAGCAAAAAGAGATTCTCTTGAATATTAATGATCCTTACAAAAGTTCAAAGTAGGAAAAATTAAGGTATCTGAGTTATTTCTTAATTCATACACATTTAACTACTAGCAAAGTGTAAATACTAATTATTTATTCATATCAAATGGCAAACGTTTAGACAGTTATCATTAGCCCTTTAGTTGACTTCGGGCTTCACAGAGGGGAGGAGCATCAGAATAACAAATGTGGGGGGGGGGACAGAACTGCGATTCACAGATGTATAAGAGACAGAGAGACACTAAGGTAGAAAAAAGATGAGGTAAGGTGATTGCTATGGAAGTAGTCGAATAAGACATACAGTCGGGTCATGGCATTTGGAAGTTAGAAGTCCACTGCCGGTTAATGGACCTTATTTGCAATATGTGTATACGTTGCCCAGTGTGCACCAAGTGGAGGTAAGTCTATCGCGCACCTCGGATATAGCAATATTAGCATGCGTCGAATATTCCCATTGTGGCACGCACAACGGCACCGCATTCAGACAGCCTCAAAAGTGCTCCGTGCTACTTGTCGAGTAGGGAGTAAGTGCGGTCGTGAGTGAGTTGAGCACACAGCCAACCGTCAAATCAATATTCCTCGTTTGGTTTATCAAATGCGCCATAGTCATGTAATGACTAAGCTCAGGTGGTTCTGGGAATCTTTTCAAACATAGGATATACTGCTTTTTGTTTATTTGGCAACATTTTTACACCTTTAACTTGAAATTTGAAGGTCAGATTTTCAAGCTCTTGGAAAAATTTTTTCTCTTTATCTCGTTTAACATTTGATTGGTTGGTCTACCTCAATTATGCGTTGTGAGGTACTTAGACTTTCAAATCATTTTCTATTTTTTTCGCTTTTCAATCACCATGCAAACATCGTTACGCCTACTGATCGATAGGGATTTAACAGAAATATTGGCATATATTTGAAATTCTTAAAATACAAATATTGTCAGATATTAAATACCGCTTATAGGGAGTTGCCCTTTGCCAGAATGTTCGAGTGATCGAGTTACTTGTGTAAGGATTGCGTGCTTGAAAAATAATGTGCTGACACGTACTGTCAATAAGGAAATTTCAAAAAAAATACACATATTTTGTAAATATAGAAATGAATGTCAATGATTGAAAAGGCCAAGGAAAATGTGTATGTGGAACT